CTTCATTTCAGCTCCTCGTACCACCCCGAAACCGACGGACGGACCGAGCGCACGAACCAGACCATGGAGCAATTAATATGAGCCACGTATGACGACCCATCAACGTGGGAGCAGCAACTGCCACTCATCGAGTTCGCGTACATTAACTCGACGTCCGCCACCACCCAACAGTAAACCTTTTATCTCAATCACGGAGCAGGTGCCGATGGCACCGAAACAATTCGCCGAAATTTTACAAGGAGCCCGTACCCAAGCAGCAATCGCAATAAATAAAGCGAACATCATCGCTAACGGCAACGCTGATTGCCGCCCCGTCATATATCAATCCGGCGACATGTTACTACTCGTTACTCAGAACCTCCGCCTACCTGTCACTCCAAAATTACGACCCAGATATTGCGGGCCATTTCGCATAAGCCATATGATCACCCCCGTAACAGCACACCTCCTCCTCCTTGCTGACTGGTCATCAGCCCCTCGTTCCACATCAGCCTCCTCCGCCTCTACGTCCCTTCGACAAGTCAAATTCCACGCAGCCGGTCATCCAGCATGACGCGACCACCAACAGAGCTAGTCATCACGCCCAAATAAATCATCAGCCGTCGAGAACGCGACCCACGTGGAGCCCACCGCGTCGAGTTTTTAATACCGGAAGGACCGCACACCGACAGAAGAGAGCTGGGCCCCCCCAGACAAAATCGAAAGCCGCCCTATTCTCACAGTGTACCTGCGCAACCGAAATTTCCGCGGCATACACGCGCTATCGTAAAAGGCCTCCATTGGGGAGGGGGTTAGTGTAAGGAAATAAATTTTCGTTACTTCGCACCACACTGCATACCGCGTACAGCACTGTCCCCCCCCAAAGCACCCGAACAGTATCCCGTTACCACCTCGCGACATTCGCCTCAGTACTTTTCCCGCCATCACGACCACCGCGCCCAAACCACCCGGCTCGGCTGGTAACTCGCGACCCGGCCCTACGCCTGTACATTTCCCAACCTCGTCGCTAGGCCCGTAGGGCACCCCTTCTCGTCGCTAAACCGTGACCATTTGCTTTCGCTATTTTACAATTCGCTCATGCCTTCGCTCATTGTAATGTTTTGGTTCGATAGTGCAATCTTCGTTCGCCCACTCAATTGCACTCGTAACATACCCGCTCGATTGATATAAATCTCAAACCCCCTTTTTTCTCTAGATTGACAGAAATCTCAAACAATATATTCCACCCGTTAGCGTTTGGTAGCGCTACCGAACGCTACTGGGCGCTAGACAGCGCTACCAGAAATTGTTAGGGCAGGGCAAAAAAACATAATACACCTAGGGAACCTTGACGTATTTTCGGGAGGGATCAACCTTAGGACGTGGCCCAGACCGCCTCTGATCGGCGCTAATCTGATCGGGGCGGATCTGATCGGGTTGCTTGTGATTGCGTTGCTCGCGCCGCCCGAAAAGTACTGATATTCCTAGAAAATTCAAGGTTCCTGCCCCGCAAGCATGTCAGCATTTCCTTATCCTTTCGTCCCAATTTTGGCGAGAACGAAGACATATCGAATTTTATGTTTCCATGTAATATCGCAAACTACACTTTAGGAGATGCATGCGCGACGGCTTGACGAGCTTAACGAGACACTGTAACTCATTCGCGGGCGTCGCCAAGATCCCCAATTAAACACGGGAAATGGCATTGTTTTTAGGGTTGATGCTTCCTCGAGTCGCATCCCTTTCCGATTGGGGGTTTTTTCTTTGGCATGTGTTGTGATGTATATAACGGCGTGTTGCAATTACCGGTGCACTGCATCGGCTCGGCTCGAGTTGGCACGAGCCAAGTCGTACCAGCCTCGCGCCTCGGGAACCTCGAAATTTCTCATAAATTTCGAGGTAGTTGTGAAGCGATTTCGTGGATGAGTTAGGAAATCACCAAATTGGCGAGGGCAGAATGGCGGTTTGGCAGCGGGTGTTAATTTGCTGGCACGTGCCAGGTCGTGCTGGCTCGAGCCAAGGCGACGCAGTGCACTGACTCGGCTTCCCGCTTGCCTGGAGCCTTCCATAACCCGTGCCCCGAGCCGAGCCGACGCAGTGCACCGGGAATTGCAACACGCCGTAATCCAATTTGTGTTTGAGACAGGCGGTACACATGGTCCGCGCTAATTTAAAGCGGCAGTATACATTTGACGGCAGGGTTCAGGGTTTTACAGTGTGCCCCACAATTTCGCCCCCACCATGTACCATGTATAAACTTTTGGCAATCTCCCTGCCAAATGTATACTGCTGCTTTAACACCCTCCAATTTCACGCCACTAGGCAATCGTTCCTGGTTTACCCGAAACCGAAGCTTTTTTCGAACAGTTTGGCTTTAAGGAGGGAAATGTTTGAGACTCCGCATACGAGTCAGCAGGAAAACAAAATATACATGGTCGCAGCGGAAGATACAGCTAGGTTCATCTCAACGCAAGCTCGCTGGGAGCTCGCTGCCCGCGGGCAAAAAAAAATAAAACCCTATCGGGCATGCATCCGGTCAGGGAGGCATCAACCCTAAACACCTTGTCGCATGGTGTTTAGGGTTGATGCCTCCCTCGGATGGCATGGTTTTAGTTTTTTTCTGCCCGCCGGTCAGGCCGTCGCTCGTCGACGGATCCGTCGACGAGCGACGGCCCATTCCGTTGAGACATACAGTATGTGCTGCGGTCACCGAGTGAGAGTTTTACGACATCGACATTATATATGCAACGGATAGCCTCTAGTTCATGGGTGTGTGATACCTAAATCCAAAAAGCTCTAAGGATGATTTACGGGGTGTGAAATTGGCGCGGGCTAGGTTACGAGATGAGACCTTGTCTTGGATCGACTCTACAGTGTAATGACGGTTTTCACCGCATCCAATCAGCAGTTAGCGGTCAGCCACTCTAGGATCCGCACCACACCACAGGTCCTGCGCAGTGGACAAGTGCCACTTTTCCCCCTTTCTTCCTGCGCGGCTGGGTGTTGTGGGGCCGGCGTCTCTGTATCAGTCTGAACCAGGCCTGTCGAAGTTTCTGGGGCCCATACTTGGAGTCCCCAGCTCCTCCCTATCTGACCCTGTTTTGGCCGTAGCTGAGTGTTTTGGCGCCCTTAACGGTCACGGGCGCAGGCCAAAGTGAAAACTTGATATCCGGGCTTGCACTTACACTATCTTAGCTAAGGGAAATTTCGGCTGCTCCAAAGCTGACTTAGAGATATCACAAACACGGGAAAAATGCTAAGGGAAAAATCCCCTTGGCGTGCTCTCGTGCAACCTAAGGAGGAAGGGGGGGGGGGGTGGGGGGGTCAGGCAGAATTTCTTGGGGGGGGGAAAGATCCTAGAACCGGAAATCAAAACTTTGTGGGTGGGGAAGGCCTGGTTGGAGCACTTAACGTATCCGGGGAAGGGACGAACGAAGCACTTAGTGGCACGGGTGCAGGGCGGCCTAACACTTTATGCAGTCGAGCTGGAGTGAAAGTAGCCCGGAATTTCAGGGCATTAAGGGCATATGCCCGTCAATCGACAGGCCTGGTCTGAACTGAGGAGACAGGCATGGCATTTTCCGACTCGAACGCTTAGTTGTGTACCCCGAAGCTAGTGATTGCTCGCTGCTTCCAAAATGCTGATTCCATCGTCTTGCTTACTTGCTTGTTATAAAACTGTTTGATGCTTACAGCAGAGCATATAAGGTCTGTTCGAAACAACCACGTTCAGGCTGCCCAAGATGGGGAAAGCAGAACGAGACAAATCATTTACATCCAGATGCACCCTTGGTGGCTACCCCAGCTGCCAGATGAATAGCCTGTGAACTGCCACGTCGCCTTCAAAAGAATGAGATTGCACGCGTTTGTTTGCATCTTGAATGTGTGGGACGCGGCTTGGGTGGGAGGGGATGTAAGCATCAACGGTCCAACAAGGCTTGGATCCCATACACATCCTGCTGTGAAAAAAGTTAGTATTCAAAACTGTAATTTCCAGCCATGATGTTTAGCCAATGAATCACGAAATGGCGCACTGCCTACTCACATTGAATCAATTCAGCAAATAATGTAATCTGACAGGTTGTGAAATGGGCAGGTATAGAAGCGAACAACGGCAGATCACGGGGGATGCTTGTTCTGTGTGAGCGTGAGATTACGCCTGAAGCATGGGATTGCCCAACCTACAAGAGGCTGGTTCGCTGCCATCTGCCATCCACTCTTGAAAGTTGTTGGTGTGGCGTCATCAAGCATGACTCCTGGATTTCACGCCATCGGCAGAGCTTCTAGCAGTCAGAATTGCAACTGCAGAGTTTGCAAACAACCTCTTCTGCCCGGAAACGACAATTGTGGGAGGGCTCCGGCCAGGTGTGCTGCTGAAAAAGTTGGCGTCAACGATCGCTAGTAAAAATTGCAAGCAGCCAGCATGCAGGTGTGTGAACGGATTGTGGTAGTGATTGTAGCTCTCAAGTGAAGCTAGTACCCTGTAAAAAATGCCGATCTGGCTTTCAAGGACTCTCATATTGGTGTAGAAGCACCCTTGCCATCTCAACCCACCCCACTATCGCATAGACCACCACGCCGGAAACTTGCACTTTGTGCCTCAGCCACAAGGAGTTCGATAATATGTGAGCAAATGCAATCTGCATCATATTTCGGGGTAGCCCCACCTCACTGTAGGTGCAGCACGATACCAAAACCGTTCTGTGGAGGCGCAGCGATGCTTCAAGTCCCCCGACCGCGAGGAGTGTTTATCTGACCGCTTCAGATCAGACACACCAAGCAAGTAGATTTTCCAATCACTCAGTGTTGCGTACCACAAGTACTCGCAAGTTCATTACTGCGTTCTCGCAGCTAGAATCGCTGCAGTGACTTTCTCACGCGGCAAGCCAAAACTCCGTACGCTTGACTCCTAGATATTAATCTGTAAGACCTCTTCCGATGGAGTCCATGGCTTCGTCACGTGCCGCTGTTGAAAATTTGTCGCAATTTGACTCCGCATTGTTAGCCCGCCTTTTATGCAGAAATCCTCTCCGCGACTGTCGCAGAAGCGGCATCGGCGACGACCATTTTACAGACAACGTAACCCTGGCGAGTATCTCGTCCAACAACACAAACCCCATCGCCCGCGGCGGCACAGATGGTGGCGGCGAACGCGGCGCATTTTCAGGCAGCCCAGCTACCAAAGAGGAAAGGGCGGAGTCGTATCAGTGGAAGAAATACGGGCATAAATTCCTGTCTTCTCAGAATGCGAAAAGGTATGCAAGAATCGTGATTGTTTTCATTGATTGTTATTTTGCAGTTTTTCCTACGCTTTGCGTGAGTGTAACATTACAGTTCCCAATTTGTTTGTGTGTCTTGTAATTCTAACGAAGCACTTCACTTCGGAAGCACGATTCCATCCCCTTGTTCAAGTCACACCGCCTATAACCTCCGGGTCCTCTGTTGCCCTAAATCTATTGTTCCGCCCTACTAAATCTCATGATCGTACCTCCTGTCGCAGGTTCTACTACCACTGCGCGGAGCGCGACACCACCGGCTGTCCCGCGAAGCTCATAATCGACAAGGTCCCGAAGAAGAAGACCAAGCACGGCCGGCGCTCGGGGCTCAAGGACTTAGTGGCGCGGGAAGTTCCAGAAGGAACCGCCGCGCGACGGCCACCGATTAATGGAGCCGTCGTTGGGGCCGATCGCGAGTCCGGCTCGCCGCGAGCCGCGGTCGCTGATGGGGGGGAGGAGGAAGAGGAGGACGATTCTAGTTTCGGATGGGAGGAGAATCGCGAGATTCTCGACGCGCTTCCCGTGCTCGAGCGACGCGTGGATCGCACGCTCACCCCGCGCCGCTTCTGGTGCCGCAATCGGCACAACCACCTTCCGCCGCCGCAGCAGCCGCTCCATATGGTCGTCTCCGCCGCCGCCGTCGCGCAGCCCCGCATGTACGTCACGGCGGCGGGCGCGGGCGCGACTATTGCTTCCGCCGCCGCCACGGTGCTTCCGCCGGCGCCGGCGGGTATCATGACCGTTCCGCCCGCTGCGACGCTTACCCCGACGGTCGCGCGGACGGCCTCCTCCACCAGCGGCGCCGCTTCCGCCGCCGAAACTCCGCGCCGCCCGTTGACCCCGAATTTGGCGGACTGGCCGTATCCGCCAAAGTCGCGCAGCCCACCGATGGCGGGTGGAGAGGAGCGCGGATCTCCGCCATGCGCGCAGCCGGGTCGGAAACGGCCACGGAGCCCGGCGCGTCCGGCGGACGATCATCACAAGATCAGTACTACGGACGCCGCCGCCGGCGCGGGGTGGGATCACGGCAGCCGCGCCATGATGACCCGCCGCCACCTGCGGAGCGGCAATGATCACGAAGTGTTGTCCGTCAAACGCGGCGATCCCGCGTTGCTCTTGCCCCCGCCCCCGCCCGTCGCGCCCGCTCCGCCCATCTTCCAGTATTTATTCCCGCACGTGGGCGCACACAGTGCGAGGTCGACCCTTGAAGCCCCTCTACTCTCCGCGGTCCTGGAGTCGCTTTGTCCGACCGCCGCTACCGCCGCTACAGCTGCCACTGCTGCCGCCGCCGCCGCTGTAGCTCCCGCTGCGGCGGGCGCAGACGCGGCTCGTACAGCCGCAGCAGCGCGCGGCGCCGGCGCCACGGCGGCGGGCGTGCGTCGTAGCGCGAGCGGGTACGACAGGGGGCTGCTGAGGGGAATCGCGGGCGCGCGGAGTCCAGTCGACCTCACTCCACTCGTGTTCCCCCGCGGCGCCCACGTCTCCCCCGCGCGCGGAGACCCTGCGGAATCCGGCCCTGTGTCTGCGGACGCCACCCGCGCGAGCGTTTCTGCAGCGACGGCAGCGGCGGCGGAGGGATTGGACGGGGGTGGTGCAGCGTGTGGGAAGGCGGATGAGGGTTTTGATACACTGTGGTCTTACGTGGAGGCGAATCTGCGACATCGCGTGGCGTCACAAGCAGCAGCAGCAGCAGCAACCGCTGCTGCCCCGCACTGGGTCGCATCACACGCAGCAACAGCAACAGCAGCAGCAGCCACAGCAACAGCTGCTTCAGATAAAGCGGCTGCTGGGCCGCACAGGCGGGCGGCAGATCATGATGAGGGCAATGCCGTTCAACACAGGCTGGCAGTGAGTCTGCCACGTGGACTGCTAGGATTGGGCGATGCGCAGCGAGAGGCGGTGCGGCAACGGGCGGAGGAGGGTGCTGCCCATGCTGGAACGAGCTGCACTGCTCTGCCCCCACTCTCGTCCTCTTTCCCTGCTGCTTCCACTTCTGCTGCTGCTGCCGCCTCTGCTCCTGCTGCCTCTGCTGCTGCCTCTGCTCCTGCTGCCTCTGCTGCTGCTCCGGCTGCTGCTGCTGCTGCTGCTGCCGCTGTTGGTGGTGTTGGTGGTGGTGTCACCACGGGCGTGGCGGGCAGAAGATTTGAGGAGCTTCAAGCGCTTTACCTTCAAGGGCTGCTGAGCTGTCAGGGTCTGGTGGGGAGCGGTGGTGAGGGGTTAGTTGGGATGGAAAGCCGTTCCTCAGGGAAGAAGATGAGTGCGCTTGCTGGGCGCGGAGTGGGTGAGATGGAAGGGAGGAGTGTGTGTGTGGATGAGGAGAGACCGGGGTTGAGGGAGGCAGGAGGAAGAGGGGGAGATGGAGGGGTGGTGGTGGCACGCGTGGCAGTGGAGATGGATTTGATTGGTCAGCTTGGTGACGGGACAGCTGTTGGCAGACAGGCGGCAGGCAGTGGTGCTCCTCAGGTGCTTTCAACAGAGCTGTGTCTCTGATGCTCAGGTGCTTGCAACAGAGCTGTGCCTCTGATGCTCAGGTGCTTGCAACAGAGCTGTGCCTCTGATGCTCAGGTGCTTGCAACAGAGCTGTGCCTCTAATGCTCAGGTGGGTAAATCTGTTCTTCGGCCAGCTTCAACGCATCATGGGAACCCAAGTGGAACTAACAGGCTCCTTCAACCCGGGAGTGAGCTCCAGCAAGCACCACGAGACAGCCTCATTATAGCCAGTACCCCTAGATGTGCATGGTCGTTTATAGTACTAGTATACTTCTCAACCAGTATAGTCGTCGACCTGGCATGCATACAAGGTGCCCTTCTCAAGCTACGCCTACGTACTGATGATTTTCTGGATTGTGAGGTGCTCTTATAAATATACCGGTAACCGCCGGACCATAACACTGCTTGTTTATCTGGCTCTTCAAATGGTACGGTAAGTTCACTGCAAACTCAGAAGTTCTAGCATCAGCATGGTTTAATTCCCCGGCACAAAATGTGGAAAGAGTTACGGTATCAACTAAATTCTTGTTGCTCTGGGTGTTGAATTGGCATGGCATGGCACGTTTCTCGTCATGCATGCAAGCTGCAAACAGGTCCTTTGAAACTCATCAGTTCTTTAGAAAAGGGATGACAACCACCCCTCAGGGCCTATCACACAGCTGTTTTGAGGGTGCCTCAAAGACCATCCCGTGTTGTTGTGAGGCTTCTGTTAGGCATGACGAGTTGCAGTATACTAGTACCGTATACTTAGAGCGTGGTTTGTCGAACCAGAGCACACAAGCCGTAGCAGAGCTGGAGGCGTGTTGTCGTCGTGTTGCAGTGTAAAGAAAACAATCCCAAGTTGCTGTGAGGCGTGCTGTTACCAGATTAGAGCATGGTTTGTCGGGCCAGAGCACAGAAGCCGTAGCAGAGCTGTGAGCAGCTGTGAGGGAGTGAGGGACGGGAGGGAATGAGAGAGGGTGGGAGAGAGAGAGAGAGGGAGGGAGAGAGAGAAATAGAGGGAGCGGTGAGAACACTTAAAGAGCAGCAATTGAGCGGCAATTGAGCGGCAAATGTGCGGCAAATGTGCGGCAATTGAGCGGCAAACAAGAAGCGCTGCTGTGCGCACACTTACTCCATGTCTGAAGGTAGATCGAAGGTGGTGTTGGGGAAGTGGTGTGGCTTCTCAAACGAGGCATGCGAGAAGGTCATTTGCTCCAAAGGCTCCTGAAGAGGTGTGTTGTGAGTGCGATAATGACTTTTGAGGCGCCTCATGAGTGCGACAATGGGTGAGGGATGTGGTGAGGTGAGGTGAGGGACGAGGTGCGGGATGGGGCGAAGGATGGGGCGGGGCAAGGGGTGGAAGAATGGCAAGGAACTGGAAGAGAAGAAGACATGAAGCATCAAAATCCGCATGTAGTAGCCACCAACCACCCTCTCTCACACACTTACAGGAATGCCGTCATTGATGCCTTACCATGTAAATTCGCATGGGCACATCGTTGTTCTCTGAATGCCGGAAGGAACTTTTGAAGGTTGACAAACTTTAAACGCGAGATTCGCGTACTCACAAGCACTGTCATTGATGCCTTACCATGTAGATTCGCATGGGCACATCATCCTCTGAATGCCAGTAGTAGTTGTTCTGTAACCCCTGCTGCTTCCTGCTTGCTCGCACGAAAGGTTAGGTGGCGGCACCGGACCGAAAATGGTTGGAACACGCAACAACAAACAAAGGGGTGTAGAGACTTCTGAGGGGCCTCATATAGGGTGTAGAGATAGGATGGAGACAGAGACCACAGCAGTGGCACAAGCTAATGTGAATCAAACAAACACCGGGTCAAGCAGACAGCAGGCCGCAGACTTTTAGTTTCTTGCTTGTTTGTTTGTTTGCTTGTTTGTTTGTTTGTTTGTTTGTTTGTTTGTTTGTTTGTTTTTTTTTTTTTTTTTTTTTTTTTTTTTTTTTTCATCTGTACTGAATAGCAGGCAGCGGTCAGCAGCCAACAGGCTCATCACCTCTCACCACCCCCCATCAAAGCTCATCACCCCTCATCACCTCTCACCATTTGGTGGAAGACACGTCATCCACGTAGTCCCGGCCCATATAGGTGGCATTGGCCAGCCAATCAGGGCGCACCACGTCACACCCATTGGCCGCAGAGCAGCAGCGGCAGCAGTACTGCGTGCAGGCAAGAGGGGAAGGGGGTGGAGGGAGGGGAGGATGGAGAGAGAAGATGGTTGACATGGGATGGTAGACAGAAGAGTCTGTCAAAGCAAAATTATATCATTCTTAAATGCGCCTATGACGGGAAGCTTCCTCACCTTTTCCTGCGGGAAGACGAGGTAGCGCCACGAGTCCCGCACCAGTTGGGTGCATGCGGTGGCTCTGAGAGGCAGCGCGGAGCTGCACGCGGGAGAGAGAGAGGGGGAGCGAAGGGGGAGGGGATGGGGTTGATGCTTAAAGGGAGGGCGAGTTGGGTGCATGCGGTGGCCAGTTGGGTGCATGAGGGGCAGCGCGGAGCTGCACGTGGGAGAATAAGTGGGGACAAAGGGGGGAGGGGATGGGGGTCCTTTAGGAGAGCACCAGGTGGGTGGCCCATCGCCCTCAGAGGCAGCGCGGAAGGGCTGAAGTTTGCCTCATTGTGAAGCGCCAAAAGAATGATAAGCGCTCACTCACCCGCAGTACCGATCCCCCAGCCCGTTCCGGCGGTCGATGCGCTGCCTGCGCGTGGTGTAGTCATACTGCCAGGTGCCTTCCGTTGTCAGGGTGTACCAGGGGAGGTACATCTCCTGTGGTGAACGAGGGGAGGTACATATGCTGGAATGAACAAGGGTCGATCCGCTGCCTGCGCATGGTGTAGTCATACTGCCAGGTGCCTTCCGTTGTCAGGGTGTACCAGGGGAGGTACATCTCCTGGAGTGAGCAAGGGGAATTACATCTCATGGGGTGAACAGGGGAGTAACATCTCATGGGATAAAGGAAGGGAGTCACATCTCCTTAAGTGAACGAGGGGAGTTACATCTCCTGAAGTGAACGAGGGGAGTTACAACTCACAGAGTGAACGAGCGGAATTACAGCTCCTGGAGTGAATCAGCTTTGCTTAAAAACCGTTGTGGCCTATTCGCCTTGTAACAAGATTGACATAGTCCCGTTCACGCGTAGTGAGGTGATTTCTAAAAAATGATGGACTATGATGGACGGGACTATGATGGACGGGACTATGTCCTCAAAAATCACCTTGTAACAAGATGGACATAGTCCCGTTCACGCGACCCTTTCTCACCTCGTTAAAGTCAACTTGGAATCTTGACGGCCAAACAGGGGCACGTGGGGGGGCTTCCGTTATAGTGTCACTCTGTGAGCCTGCGCTTACTCCACCATCGACAGAAGCACCCTTCGCTATAATCACTTGCTGGCGAATCCCAAGGGTCTTGGAATTCAGGCCTTCTTCTGACGTCATGAGCAGCTGGCTGGTGGCAGGTACGCGTGCCGCAGTCGCGGGAAGCGAATGCGATAGTAAAGAGAAAAGGGTGTAGAGGAGAGACGCAACTGCGACAGCGGGAACTGAGAGCGGAAGGCGGGACGAGGAAATCCGGCAACGAGTCGCCATCCCTGCAGCCTATAATAGGCGACAGTCTACCTTAGCCGACAGTCTACCACGAGGCAACAATCTACAGATGCAAAGAGGGAGTGAATGAACTGCTGTGGCAAACCTCGGAAATTCCAGGATTGAACAGGTTCTCGTCTCGACTGAATTTACGAGCGCTGGGCTCGACATTAGCGGCCTCGTTAAAGAGCACACAACACACTCAACGACCCTTGTTGGTTAAAATTAGTTTGCGGCTGACAGAGTAACGGGCTCACACCGAAACGATCATTCCGTGTACCTACTCCGGTTTGCCAGGGTGAAGTCTCCATGTTCTCTAAACAACGCTTGCATAGGATATTTTTCTGAAGGAAACATTTAGAGCGTGTTCCTACAGCCTCATATCAGGTAACCTCGTATCAGATTCGCGTCGAACCGCACTAAAACGCATCCAACCACAGTCGAACACACTGAAACGTATTTCACCACGCGAAGCTGATACGAGGTGTTTCTGATACGAGGTGTAGGAACACGCCCTTAGGGTAGCAGCAGAGCATCTGTGCCACGAGCAACTGTTCCACAACCTTAGGCCTTACAATACAAGCTCTGCTGCATCTCACAGAACCTTTTCCACATGTTTTAGTCTTTTCGCCCTTTCAACCCTCCTCACTCCGCAGCCTTCTTTTTCTTCTTGGACGATCCAGTCGTCCCCGGCGTCGCTCCATCCTCCTCCTTGGCCTTCTTTTTCTTCTTGGCCGAACCATCAGTAGCACCAGGTGTCACACTCCCATCCGCTGCTGCGTCCTTCTTTTTCTTCTTCTTCTCAGAGGCGGGGGTCACCGGTGCTGCTGCTTCCTCCTTTGCCTTGCCCTCCTCCCTGTCACGCTTTTTCTTCTTTTTCTTCTGAGGAAAGGCACAAGGAAGGGGCGAAGAACCATGCACCAAGGAGAAGCGGAAATGTTGAACAACATGTGGTTGGAAGGGCATACGAGAGCGTGTAGGACACTCAACAGATCGAGAAAGCTCTGCCTTTCTTCAACAAACAAACAGACCAGACCAAACATGCTCCGTCAGGGGATGATGCGCGAATGAAACCCAGCTGAGAGCAACAGCTGAGAGCAACAGCAGCACACCCTCACCACCCAAGGCTCTTTCCCCAAACCGCAACGCACCTCGGTGGAGGGAGGCTCTGCCCCGTCGGGATCCACACGGGCAGCAGCAGCAGCAGAGGGAGTGGCCTCCCTGTTCTCCCTATCCTTCTTCACCTTCTTGCCCGACAAAAGGTTTTCACCTAACCACAACGCACCTCAGTGGAAGGCGGCTCTGCCCCATCGGCGTCCACACGGGCAGCAGCAGAGGGAGTGGCCTCCCCGTTCTCCTTGTCCTTCTTCGCCTTCTTCTCCTTCTTCGCTTTCTTAGCCGACTCCTCTCCGGCTGCTGGTGTTGCGTCTGTTGCTGGGGACTTGGCTGTCAGCAGCGCATCAGATGCGGGGTTGTAAGCCTGCAGGGGGGAGAAAGAGGGAGGGAAGCGAAGGGAGGGGGGTAGTGAGCGAGGAGAAGCGTGCACTATATCTCTGTGAAGCGATGCCCGAAGAAATAGTCGCTCTGAAAGAACTCATAAGTCACTGTATCCAGAGAAGTGTGGTGCGATTCCAGTAAATAGCACCCCTGAATGCCTCAACTCCCCTGCCATCCCCATGAGCACCTCAGTCGAACGGAATTACCTTGGCAGGGGTGATGAGGCCGCCCGTGCCCTCCTTCCTGTCCTTGTCGTACGCCCTCAGCTTCGCCTTGCCCTTGCTCGCTGCACTCGCACTGCGCTTAAGTGATTCTTATAACACACTACCAATGACATGACATAATTACCTTAAGAGGGGTGATGAGGCCGCCCGTGCCCTCCTTCCTGTCCTTGTCGTACGCCCCCAGCTTCGCCTTGCCCTTGCTCGCTGCACTCGCACTGCCCAGCACCCGCCCCTCCAGCTGCCGCAGCCGCTGCTCAATCTGTTTGCAGTCACAAGGAAGATCAGGGGAAAACCGAAGCAGGGGGGAGGACAGAACAGAAATGAGGCGAGGAAGGTGGTGAAACAGATACGAGCCGAGACAGTGCATTGCATTGCGCAGACACAGGTAGAGGGTCGCAGGAGAAGCAGAGAGATGTTAGCATGGAAACCAAAGAGATTCTGCCCTTGACCTCGCTCCCTTCCCTTCCCTCCTGTCCCACAAACAACGCAAGGGAGCTTGCCCTTGAGCTTGGGGGGCGCCTAGCCTACCTGTCTGCCATTCCCTTTCCCTTCCCTTCTGTGCCAACCAGCCTCCCCCCCCTCCCATCCCACGCACCTTGGCGCGGCCCTCAAACCCAACAGTGGGCTCGGTGGCATCCCCAAGAGCGTCCACGCGGATAGCAAGGGAGCACTTGGCAGCTATCAGCTGAGCACATGCAGGATTCGACCCACTACCATGCTACCATCCCTTCCACCATCCGATTCCCTCCTCCCACGCACCTTGGCGCGGCCCTCAATGCCCACAGTGGGCTCGGTGGCATCCCCAAGAGCGTCCACGCGAATGGCAAGGGAGCACTTGGCGGCGAGCACGCGCGAGATCTTGCCCTTGAGCTTGGGGGGCGCCTGGCCGATGAGGGACGCGTGGAAGATGAGCCCGTACTTGGGCGTGTCGTGCTTCGTCTTGAGGGCGCGGAACAGCGCCTGGTGGGGTGAGGGGGGGGGGGGAGGGGGAGAGGAGTTGGGAACAAGGAGGAAAAGGGAAGATGAGCGAGGCGTGGAAGATGAGCCTGTACTTGGGCGTGTCGTGCTTCGTCTTGAGGGCGCGGAACAGCGCCTGGTGGGGGATGATGAGGAGAGGAGGTGGGGGCAAAGGGAAACAGGGGGGATGAGCGAGGCGTAGTAGATGAGGCCATACTTCGGCGTGTCGCGCTTCAACATCCACACAATATCACTGCAGTATTACACTTGAGTATCACTGCAACCACCCACCCAGCAACTATCCACACAGCTGGCGTACCTTCTCAGCACCCAGAATCTGAACAGTGGAGGCGGGGTGCTTGGCCAGGCTCATCAATGACCCAGCATGGGCGATGAGGCGCGCCCCCACGAGCTCGCCTACGAGCACCGTCAGGTTGGGCGCTATGGCCAGCATGCGCGATCGCAGGTAGTCGAACAGCTGCGCACGGTACTCTGAGAGGGCGATGACCTGGTACAAGGGGGAGGGATGAAAACGAGGGAGGAAGGGGAGGGGGAGCCGCCAGGGGGAGGGGGAAATGTGGGGAGGAGAGGAGGAGGTTGGGCGCTATGGCCAGCATGCGCGAGCGCAGGTAGTCGAACAGCTGCGCACGGTACTCTGAGAGGGCGATGACCTGGGGGGAGGGGGGAGCGGGGCGGGTGGAGAGGGGGAGGGGAGGAGGGAAGGGTTTGTGTAAGGTGTGGGCGAAGAGGGAGAAATGCCAGTCAGACGAAATCGGCAAGAAGGCAACAAGGGCGGAAAGAGAGGAAGCAAGAGAGCTATATGAGGGTGGCAGCCTTTTTGTGGCGACTGCATGGTAGCTAAGGGCCATTGACTGGCGTTGACCTGCGTTGACTGGAGCCGCTGACTGACCACTGACATGGTCGCAGAGCGCAATGATGTTGGTCATGTCGTGCTCCCTGACCTCCGTCCGTACCCATGGAGCTTTGACACGTCCCAAACCTGCATTGACCTACGTTGACCTGCGTTGACTCACATTGATCAAGCCTCTGACCCACCTGGTCGCAGAGAGCAATGATGTTGGTCATGTCGTGCTCGCTGACCTCCGTCCCCATGGAGATCACCGCTGCATCCTTCATTGCCGACTCCACATCCTCCTCCAATATCTGGCGAGAACCACAGGGAGACGGGGGAGAGGGGAAGAACGGGAGATAAAAGCACAGGTAAATACAGGGAGATGGATGCATCGCTTCAGACTCTAGCCATAATATGTATCACGAGCGGAGGGGGGAGAGGAGGGGGAGGAGGGGGTAGAGGAGGGGACCAAGCTCACCCCGGAAAAGTCGAGGTCAGCGGCGTTGACGCGGTGAGCCATGAGCTTGACGGCGCGCGCGTACTGCAGGTTGTCCGTGACGATCTTGGCGAGCTCGGGGAAGTGCCACCCGTACCACTCGCGCACGCGCATGGCGTACGTGTTCAGCTCCTTGTCCAGGTCGTCCAGCAGCCCGATCGCCTGCACTATCATCGTGTCCACCTGCGATGATTGAAAGGGGGGGGAGGTGATGGAAGGTGGATTGAATTGACTGTAGATAGAGGCGACTCAATGGGCACACGCGCATGGCGTACGTGTTGAGCTCCTTGTCCAGATCGTCCAGCAGCCCGATCGCCTGCACTATCATCGTGTCCACCTGCGATGAACGGGATTGGTTGATCGTGGGTGGTCAGGGAGGGGAGGGAGGAAAAGTGGGTGGCTGGGGTTCATGGAAAGTGGTTGTTGGATCGTGTGAGGCACGTACCATCCACCCGTGCGAGGCGGATCATGAATACACCAACCATTCGCTTTGTACTTCAATGTCGTGCATGCATGCAGGAAGGCGTACCTTATCCGGGGAGAACTTGAGCTTATAGCGCGACAGGCTGTGGCTGAGACCCAGGCTCATGGGCGCAAGGTCGGTGCCTGACAGCCCCGCAATGAGCTCCGAGAGGTGTGAGCGCACTCCGCGCATGAGCTCCATTACCGCTGCGTTGTGCACGCATGTCACTCCCTGCATGGGCGCACAGGCAAAGGGAGTGGGGGAGGGACAATGAGGTCGGCGCCTGACAGCCCTGCAATGAGCTCCGGAAGGTGTGGGCGCACTCCGCGCATCAGCTCCATCACTCCCGCGCTGTGCACGCACGTCACTCCCTGTCGCGCGTGGAGAAGCACGGAGGGAGAAAAAAAGAGCGGGAGCGGCAGAAAGAAATCTGAGAGGTGCCAAAGCCCCTTATCTACCAGTGCCAGTGGCCTCTTACCACCGATGCCAATTTGATTATAAAATTTCTGGCAGTGACACATCGCCTTCACAATTTTTTTGCTCGATCCCCTTGCGCGGCCTGCTCTCCACTCCACCATACTTCTTCTTACAATCCCACCCCCTTTCTTATCACAATCCTTCCCTCATTCCCAACCCCCTTCGAATCACGTTCCCTCTGCCAATCCCAATCCCCTTTTTCACCCGCGTCCTCCCCCTTCCCCCGCGCCCCAATCCCCGCACCAGTTTCTCTTTGATGATGTTGCCCAGTTTTGAGTCGGCGACGGCGAGCGTCTCCCCCTGGCACTGCGCCTTGACGAACTTCTTCAGCCCCTTGCTCAGCTTGCTCTCCACCAGCGCCGTATTACCTCTTTCAATCACATTCCCATTCGTCAACCCCAACTCCCCATCCAATCACATTTCCTTTCTCAATCCCAACCCTCCAACTCTCCCCCGCGAGCACCCCCATGCGCGCCCGTACCAGTTTCTCCTTGATGATGTTTCCCAGCTTCGAGTCGGCGACGGCGAGCGTCTCGCCCTGGCACTGCGCCTTGACGAACTTCTTCAGCCCCTTGCTCAGCTTGCTCTCCACCAGCGCCGTCGCCGCGCCCAGCGCGTCCGCCGTGTTCTCGAACTTGTCGAACGCCTTCAGCTTCACCACCTGCATTGCGGAGAAGAGGGGGATGGGGAGGGGGAGAGAGGGGTTAGCGGGGCCTAAATAGCGCCCAGCGCATCCGCCGTGTTCTCGAACTTGTCGAACGCCTTCAGCTTCATCACCTGCGGAGAGAAAAAGGGGATGGGGGGGGGGAAGAAAGAGGGATTAGCGGGGCCTAAATCCCGCCCAGCGCGTCAGCCGTGTTCTCAAACTTGTCGAACGCCTTCAGATTCACCACCTGCAGACGGAAAAAGGGGATGGGGGGGAGGAGAGAGGGGTTAGCGGGGCCTAAATGGAGCTCAAGACGTACGCCGCGTTCTCGAACTTGTCGAACGCCTTCAGCTTCACCACCTGCACGAAGTGAAGGTTTGAGAAGAAGGTTAGTTGGGACGGACCGGGGAGAGGGGGACCGGGGCTTGGTCATACGCAACCGAGCTCTCCTCTCATTCTCTTTCCCCCGCTAAAGCCCACCGCATGTTGTCGCATTTTCCACCTTACTCTCTCCTTGTAGATCAAACTCCCCTAAAACTTCGCAAAAAACTTCTACGCCTGGTTACCAATGTGCTCCTTGGCACCACTTGCCTTGCTGGCGCTTTCCGACGACTCGAAGTGCGTCCAGATGTCCTCGACCTTGTCGAGCTTCTTGTCGTCTAGCACCTTGAACAGCGCGAACCCCGCCGGGGTCTCGAACAGAAGCAACATCGCGACGTCGACGACGGCGACGGATAGCGGTTTTTAGAATTGGTCCTGCGGGAAACAACGCAATGATTCAGTAGGGCAAATGTCAATGTAGGGTAGGCTCTATCGGCAATGCCAATGCGAGCATCGTCGCGAAAGCTGCTGCCGGCGATGGACGAGGGATTAAGGACGGATGGGATATGTCCGACGGGGGGCACGAGAATTCACGAGACCTAACGAATAGAAGGGATGCCCTCTACGAATAGAAAGGCACGAGACCTAGATTCTTCGAATTGAAAAAAAACTGAAACCCTGATGGCCGTCTCAGGATTCCTCAGCACATCCAAACTCTGACGCTTATTTACGTGACTATTAGCAGCCTAACGTTCAAGCAAGCGACTCTTGGCACGGTAAAGGCTACTTAAAAATAGTATTACCCTCACAGTCGCGGTAATTTGTCGCTGTTTGCTTTCCGTCTGTTCCGTCAGTGCCTGTTGCCTGTCGCACATTTTCCGTCGACGGAACCTACCTTGATGAAGAAAGTCGTGGAGATATTAGAGTCTTCGATCTTCTTTTAATTATCGAGCGAATGCAGGACCAGGAAACGCGGAAGAAAAGAAGCTCTTGTGTCGTGTCTGCTAAAGCCCTGAGACCAGGAACAAGATTTTCAGGTTTCCAGGTTTCTCCGAAGAAGAGAAAGGGAAAAGAGAGCGGGAGGGGAGAGAGAGAGAGGGGGAAGAGGAGGATGTCGAGGGAAGAAACAAACCTCGAGGAGGAGGCAAGGGAGGAGGCAGGTTGGGCTTGGAGACAATTGTCGACCTCGATACAGTGCACCGGCGTTATGGCTTGAGTAAACTGCACACGATGCACATTTGCTTGGACTAACTTTTTGTCCAAACGAAACAATGGGGCACTGTATAATTTTCATCTCCCATCCCAACCATTTTCTACACAAAATCACAGGCCTTCACGCACATCACGGGCGACAGGGCTTCATCTATATCAGCAGTGTTCAGACACCCTCGCCAGTCGATGCGGTCTCATCCTTGTCAGACAGCAGCACGAGCCGCGTCTCTCGCCGCTGTCTTCCCGGATTTTTGCAGATAATGAAGCTAGAACCGCCGTGGGAGGGGCTGAATTTCCCTCAGTTGCCGCAGCCGCCGCAACGGCGGCAGCAAGAGGGGCACAGCCAGCAGCAGCAGCAGCAGCAGCAGCAGCAGCAGCAGCAGCAGCAGCAGCAGCAGCAGCAGCAGCAGCAGCAGCAGCAGCAGCAGCAGCAGCAGCAGCAGCAGCAGCAGCAGCAGCAGCCGCAGCAGCCGCAGCCGCAGCCGCAGCCGCCGCAGAAACGCCAGCAGGTTCAGGAACAGCGGGAGCAGCACCTTGAGCGCGCCGCATATGACGGGCAGCGTCCTCGCCACCATAGGTCGCAGCAGGGAGAGAAGCAGCAGCGTCAACCGGAGCCGCAGCATCTTGACATGCGCGCACGTGACGGGCTCAGGCAGAATCCTCGCCAGCAGCAGTCGCAGCACTCGCTGGCGCATCGCCCACCTCGTCGCGAACGCCTTCGCGAGCTCTCGCAACAAATTCGGGAAGCGGTGCGCGAGGGGCAGCGCGCGGAGGGCGGGCGCAGGCGCAGGCGCGCGGAGGAGCAGGTCGACGCGCTCATGGCGGAATACAACGCACTGGGCGGCGCGCCTGCCACCTGGATGTACGCGGCGCGAATCCAGCTGTGCCTGGTGAAGGGTGCCACGTGGCGCCGACTCGGCAGGGGGAGGTTTCAACTGGCGGAGGCGGAACCCGGGCGGACGCGTCTGGGCGGGGGCGCAACGGGGGAAGTGCGGGTCGGAGAAGGGGAAGGGGAAGCGGAAGGGCGGCAGCGAGTAGCGTTGCGACAGCTGGCGCGTGCGCGGGAGCTGTGGCAGGAGATGCGCGGCCGCGGCCTGCAAGCAGACAAATACGCCGCCTCCGCAATGATTGCGGTGTGCGGGCGGGCAGGCAGGGCGGATGAAGCTGAGAGGGTGATGGCAGGGGTGGCGCTGGGGGGGCCTGGGGTGGGGGGACAGGTGGAGCTGGGGAAGGTGTCTTCTGATGCTGGTGTTGCTGATGATGCAACGAGCCGTGAAGCAGGCATGGGCGAGTCGAATGGTGGCTTGAATGGTGGGTTCAACGACGTGGTGGTGTGGAATGCGCTGGCAGATGCGTGGAGTCGGAGCGGGGATGCAGTGCGGTCTGAAGGGGTGCTCTCACGCATGCTGCACGCCCAGTGCCCGCCCAACCTCGTGAGTCTTGACGCTGCTGGCTGCTGTTGCTGTTGCTGCTGCTGCCTGCTGCTGCTGCTGCTGCTGCTGCTGCTGCTGCTGCTGCTGCTGCTGCTGCTGCTGCTGCTGCTGCTGCTGCTGCTGCTGCTGCTGCTGCTGCTGCTGCTGCTGCTGCTGCTGCTGCTGCTGCTGCTGCTGCTGCTGCTGGCCATTGACCTTGTGGCTGCTTCACAGCATCTCATCTCATCCTATCCTTCCTTTCTCAAAGCTATTCACTCATGACTTTAGAGCTTCCTCGTGAAATGAGTCGTGTTTTGAGTCGACTCGAAGCACGACTTCAGAGCTTCCTCTCGTCTCCATGCACCCCTGTGCTCAACGTTCATGCCTTCCCGCCACGTGCATGTGCTTCCTTGCGTTGCCCATGTGCCCGCTCCACCCTTGCGCCCATTCTGCTCATCTGCCTGCTCCTTTCCACCCATGTGCTCGTACTCCCCATGAGCAGCGGAGCTACAACATTGTTCTCAACGCCTATGCCAAGAGCATCACACCAGTCAGCGCCCATGGTGATGATGATGAGCATGGCGATGCTGGGAGAGCCAATGGCGAAGCAGAACACCAAGGGGCAGCCGGACTCATGCGAGACTCCGGGCGGCTGATGCATGCCGGGCGGGCGGCACATGCTGGACGGACGGTGCATGGCGGGCGGCATGGCTCGTCCCCATCCGTGCCTTCCCGGCTCAGCCCCTCCGAGACCATCCATCGCATGTGCCAGCTCATCGCCTCGATCTCGAGACAAGAACTGCTGCCCACACCTAGACTAGGCAACACCGCCTGTGTGTCAAAAAGTCTGAAAAGCACCTCTGATGATGTAGCCACCACGTCTGATTTAGTCACTCCAGATACCGTCACTCCTGATATAGTCACGTTCAACACATTGCTGGATGCATGCGCGCGTGCGGCGGATGCTGATGCTGCAGTGGACACGTGGCAACAGATGATTGGTGCAGGAATCACTCCCTCAGAGGTCGGGGCGGATTGCCATGGGGTGGAGAGGGGTTGGGTGGGTGGGTGGGTGAGTGGATGGGTGCGTAATGGTTGGTTGGGTGAGGTGGGTGGGTGGGTAGGTGGGTGGGTGGGGATGTGTTGGGGGTGGTGGGTGGGCTGGGCGTTTTTATGAATGGTTCCTTCTTTCAACCAAAAGGGCACATCTGTATTTATTCCTCCCATCGCCCCCTCTCCTGTTCCGCTCCCCAACTTCCCCTCATTCCCCTCTGCAGGCCTCCATCTCCTCCCTCACGTCTTCCTTCCGCCTCGCGCCCTCTCTGCCTCTCGACCTGCTCGCGTCCCTGGCCCCCACTCCCCTCCCTCCATGTCAGCCAGCCAACCAGATGCCGACAAATCAGCGTCTTGGCCTCATGCAGCCATCTGCAATGCAGGAAAATCGCCATCATTATCATCAGCAGCAGCAGCAGCAGTATCAACTCCAGCATCAGTCTTCACCTCCCACCACCTCCTCCACCACTCCATCAGCATCAGCATCAGCACAACACCCAGCTGCTGCGCATGAGCCTCTCACGATACAAGACCCTCCTCCAGGCTCCCATGCCTGTGTCACTCCCAGCAGCCGTCTGTATCCCCGTGCTGCTGCTGCTCCCACCTCTGTACAGTCAACTTCCACCTCAGTACAGTCACCTTCCACCTCAGTACAGTCAACTTCCACCTCAGTACAGTCACCTTCCACCTCAGTACAGTCACCTTCCACCTCAGTACAGTCACACTCCACTCAGTCAAATCTTGGTGTACAGTCACCATCCACTGTACAGTCACCTCTCGCTACGGATGAGTCAGCCAGTGTAGCAGCCAACAGCCAGGAGCACCCTCACCCCGCCCTTCCCTCCACCACCCTCCCAATCTCACCCCTATCCTCCCGCTCTCTTCCCACCTCATCCTTCCTGAGCCGACAAAAGAAAACGGATTTCCGCCCATCCCTTGTCTCTTCGACCACTCTTCCATGCTCACCCGCAACACCTCCTCGCTCCCCTTGCACCGCTCCTATAGGCCCTCCCCCACTTCCCCCGGCCACCTCTGCTGCAACTGAACCGGGCCTATTTTCTAGGCTCGGCCCGTGGCTGCAGCAGTGGCTTGGAAAGCCAGCAGCCACAGCACCAGCACAGGGAGCTTTGGGGTCTGCCGGAATGGGGGTGAAGGGAATTTGGGGGGTTGAGGAGTCGAGACGTGGGGCTGGCGAGATGGGTTGTTTTGAGACGTCTCAAAACGAGATGTCGAGACGTGGGGCTGGCGAGATGGGTTGTAAGCAGGGAAGAGGAGGAGGAGGTGCGGGGAGGGGCGAGTTGGGAGTGAGAGGGAGAGCGTGGGAGGGCAAGAGCATGGGGGAGAGGGTATGGGAGGCAAGTGAGGGAATGGAGGAGAGGGCACGGGAGAGGGGCGATGGCATGGGGGTGGTGACTCTAGATCTGCATGGCTTGTCCGCCATGCAGAGTAGACTCCGCCTCATGGATACCCTCCTCCCTCCCTCACTCCCTCCCTCACTCCCTCACCCACACCTGCGCCCACACCCTCACTGGCCCTCACCGTCACACAGTCATCTGGCTTCACCCTCAGCGTCCCCACCAGCTGGAGAGAGTGAGGGCGTTCGACGGTCCGCTCCAGCTCGTTTCACGTCACTGGAAGCGCCTCAGAAGCAGCCTGCCTCATATGCACCGCGGGAGCAGCCACTGGTTGCGCAACGATCCACCCTTACATCAGCATCAGCAGTAGAAGCAGCGGCAGCAGTTCAGGAAAAGAGTGGTCGCACGCCCTCAGTGGTACATGGCAAGGGACTGGTCATCATCACTGGAGCCGGCAGGTCCGTTCCTATCTGCTTTTGACTTCTGAGATGCCGCATTTCCTGCTCGCTTCCCATCCCAATCTCGTGCATACACTGTGCTGCTGCGTGCGCTTCCGATCACAGTGTGCGTTCCTTTTGCATTCTCCGTTGCCATACTTCTGGACTGCAAAAGGGTGGCTCCTTCACATGCCCTGCTTTGCGTTCGTGCAATTAACTGGTTCCTTGTCTTTTTCTCATAGTACACCGCTTGACAAATCTCTTATGAATGTATTCCCATGTGACTGGATGTCCTTGTAATTATGTCCCTGTGACTGTGTCCCACTGTGACTGTATTGCCGTGTACATGTGTGTGACTGTGACTATAAGCAGGGGGCGCTCATTTGTGAGAGAGGCGGTCATGCAGCAGCTATCAGGCCTCAGGTGGGTAGAAACCCAGTTGTCTTTTTAAGACCCAGGCATGTATTAACTGAAATGTATGTGGGTATAAACTCAAATAGCAAGGCCGAGGAGTCGGATTGTGCCTTCTCATGCCTTGGTCATACACTTACTTGTCAACCCCTCTCCTTTCCTTAACCATGCTGCCCTCATCTGTTTGTGACATGTTCAAGAGCTTGGGTTGGATTTTGTGCCTCTTTTCTTTGCTTTCACCACTTCCCTCAGGTTGCCGTTTGAGGCTCATCGCAGCAGAATCACTCTGCTTCCGGAAACTCTTTCAGCCTTTCGAGCAAAGAATCAGGTAGCATCCCATGGACTCTGTATGTATGTTCCGTATGCCACGTGTGGCATGTGGTATGCGCAATGTGTACCTTGTCTCATGCATCATTTACCGTACCATGTACAAAACATCATGCACCATGCGCTATGCACCAGGCATTTCGGTTTGTGCTGCTTACACTCTTTGTGTTACAAAACCTTTTCATTTGCCCTTTACCTCGTATTTCAATCACTGTGATGGTTTTTTGTTTTTGTTTTCCTGATTCGTTCGATGCATTGCCAACCTTTGCCTTCCTTCCTATCAGGAACGGCAGCACGTGAATGCATGGATGCGCCTAGCAATCGGTAGATATGGCTCTGTGGTAGCTGGCATCGGAGCCTTGTTTACAGTTCCGTTGCTGATTCAGCACTACTCTCATGCCAGTAGGTGACCTTGCAACAAATGAAAACGTGATATTGTTTTTGAAATCGTCTTTAAAATTCTGGAGCATGCTGCAACAAGCACTCGTTTGAGGTTGTAAGGAAAATTCATTTTCCTTACTCTCTTACCGCGTACAATACCATTCCCGCCATCGGCACCCAACAGTGAAACGTTACCCGCTCGCGACACTCGCCTCGGCTACGACTCCCGCCACCGTTCACGATGCGACCCAACCTCACGGTTCGGTTGGTAACCCGCGCTCCGGACCTCCGCCTCGACATTTCCCAACCTCGGCGCTAGGCCCGTAGCGCACCCCATAATCTCGCGTTACCGTTACCACTCTAGTTCGCTATATATTCTTCGCGCATGCCTTCGCTCATTGTATTGTTTTGCTTCGATAGTGCAATTCTCGCTCGCTCGCTCAATTGCACTCGTAACACTTGGTATTCAGAGCTTACGATCTCCTCTCGGACCGCACCCACACCTACAACGTTCACAAGGCCTGCCACGCCTACCACTTCTTCCCGAGCAAGCGGCTAGCCGACAATGCTAACGTGCGGGGCTTCATTGACGGCGTGCAGTGCTACCTGCTGGAGAAGGACGCGGGGTCGGGACGGACAGCGGGACTCAGACATCCTTATAGCGGGGATGGAAGAGAGCAGGATGCTATGGCCGCATACTACCCGCTCAGCTGGTATGTACCCCTGGAAAAGCTTATCCGACTTGCACCTGGCACTGCATGTGCTCTCATAGCTGGCAATCCTGCGGCATTCAAGGTGTGCTGAACGGTGGCTGTGTTGGAGGAGGTATACAATGTTGTATGGTGCGTGCCCTTTACAAGGTATATTTTACCGTATGTGTCGAAAATGCTGTATTTACTAAGATTAGATGTGTGGCTGTCTTATTGGCATGTGGTGGAGCCATAATGCCTCCACACATCTGTCAAGCATTTCTCCATCCCCTTGCACCATGGCCCTTGGCAGGGTGGGAGGGTCATGCGACACGTCTCGCCTGGATAACACCGACCCGCGCATCACAGGCGCGCACGGAACCCTCTTCGACTTGACTCTTGAGACGACTCAAAAGTCACCTCTTTCTCCATCCCCTTGCGCTATGGCCCAAGGCAGGGTGGGTGGCTCGTGCGACACGTCTCGCCTGGACAACTCCGACCCGCGCATCACAGGCGCGCACGGGACCCTCTTCGACTTGACTCTTGAGACGACTCAAAAGCCACCTCTTTCTCCATCCCCTTGCGCCATGATCCCTGGCAGGGTGGGAGGCTGGTGCGACACGTCTCGCCTGGACAACACCGACCCGCGCATCACAGGCGCGCACGGGACCCTCTTCGACTTCCCCGGGCAGCTCGGGAAATCTTTCTGCTTGCTTGCCGACCGTCGGATTCACATCAACGTGCTGCTGCAGAGCCACCAGGGACAAGAGTCCGCTGCAGCAGCGGCGCTAGCAGCAGCAGGCATGCCGAGGAGAGTGGCAGAGGGAAGCCTGCATGTGTGGGTGAAGGAGGTGGGAGTGGTGTGGGTGTCGGGTGGCGGCAAGCAGCACTTGCTGCGCATGGTGGCGCGCACAGGCAACCAGCAGGATAGAGGGGCCCACGGCTTCCTCGCCCTCATGCAGGTGGACGGTGCTGACGTGGCACCGCCACGCTTCCATGATGACCTGGCAGTGGTGGCTGGGTATGAAAGTGTGGAGATAAGGAAGACGGCGGAGGAAGAAGACGGGCCTTTCGATGTGGATACATATGAAGTTGTGTTGGAAGGGCTGGGGAAGGTGTATGTGAGCACGAGGGTGGCTCACCCTTTGCTACAAACACCAGAGGAAGCTGAGGCACATTTCACCATCCGGGTAGCTGAACTGCAGGTAAGAGGAGGGATTGTAGTGCGTCCATAGCATAATGTAGGCCTGTGTGCACTGCTGGATCATCCGTTTGTGCAAAATCCAGCAAACGTCTTACTCTCGTCTCCTACGCTTTTATTTCTTGTGCAGACCAGCTCAGCTGTCCAAGGGGTGCTGGGTCAAGCTCTTACTGAAGGGAACCTCGACCACGTACGGGGGAATGGAAATTTGACGTACACTCATCTGTCGGATCTGCTTCATCACCCAATGCTTGAAATAAGAGACTCTGGGCAGCCATCCACGCACAGGACTGCACTAGACTATGTGACCCCATCGATTTTGAGTACGAATTGCCGGATAGGAGCTACGTAGGTTGGGTAAGTCATCCACTAACTGTACTAACACCACACTAGATGGACGTAGGCCTATAAATAAAGCCCAATAAAGAGTATCCCTGTAGCACCAGGGCCTTTTTGCTGCTATGAAGGGGCCTTTAAAGGTTGTGTACCATGTTGCCCAAAGAGAATGGAAACTGTTTGCACCAAAGGTTGTATGCCTTTATGTGTGCATGTATACTCAAACTACTGATAGAAGTGCTTCAACTTTGCAAAACTATCCGTTTATACAAGGTGAACGGCATAGATATTATTTCAGGAAAGCCCACATAAATAACCCTTAATGTGAAGGCCACCTACCATTGCCAGTGTAAGGAAAATTCCTTTTCCTTACTTCGCGCCCCTGCTTACCGCGTACATGACCATTCCCGCCATCGGCACCCACAGTGAAACGTTACCCGCTCGCAACACTCGCCTTGGCCACGACTCCCGCCACTGTTCGCGATGCGACCCAACCTAACGGTTCGGTTTGTAACCCGCGCTCCGGACCTCCGCCTCGACAATTCCCAAACCTCGGCGCTAGGCCCGTAGCGCACCCCAATTTCCCGCATTACCGTTACCACACTAGCTTCGCTATATAACTTCGCTCATGCTTTTCGCTCAACTGGATTGTTTTACTTCGATAGTGCAATTCTCGCTCACTCGCTCAATTGCACTCGTAACAATTGGTATTCAGTGCCTACGATCCCCTCTCGGACTGCACCCACACCTTCGCTTCCCCACTATCTCAAATTTTGGGGGGGGTAGACGTCTCTCAGCGAACAAGCACCGCCGCTCGAAGTGCTCACTCGTAAGCATGCACGGCCACGACAGAGGCTCTCGCTGAGCTTGCCCGACACCCCCGCCATTGCCGAAATTAATCTCGCGACACTGACGCAGGAGCAGCTCGACCGTCTCGTGCGCCAACTCGAAGAATCGGCGCTCGAAATCGCGACACTCACGGCGGAACGTGACTCCACCCGCCAGCAATCAAGGGTGAATGCGCCAGCACCATCACAAGCACATGCAAATGCACCTACGCAATCGGATGAGCCTTTTGTCATCTCGTCCCGCACACCGTCACATCACGAGAGCGTGGGACAGCGCTCAGGCGCAGCCAGTGATGGTGTCGCCCAATCAATGCCTGGCATGGGGAGGAACAGGGTTGTACCAAGCACGAGCGGGCCTTGCGAAGCCCGTCGTCACGTTGAATTTGCGGCAACAATCGGCAACAACGACATTGTCGCGCCGATGCCGCTCAAACCGCAGCGCCCGCCCTGCTTCGACCCGAGCCAACAAGGAGGTCCGACGGTTCAATCGTGGGTCTTCACGATGAACGTTTTTTTTCGACGCGAATTACGTCGAGTCGGACGCAACGAAGATTCGATACGCTGTTTCACTGCTAAGGGGCCCCGCCATGGACTGGTGGCAAGTCATCGTGACGTCGCCACGCGCCTACGAGCCGCCGTCGCAAGAGGAAGAGCCCACGGGTCCAGCCGTCCCCTGGAGTTCGTTCTGCAAAATCGCCCAGTACAGCACGTGGGATGCGTGGTGCGCAGGGCTTCGAGCGCGCTTCGAGCCGATTGCGGCTTCTATTTCGGCGCGTCAGAAACTGCGTACTTGGCGACAACTTGGGTCGGTCCAAGACTACACCAGCGGTTTTCTCGCATTATGCGAGCAAGTCGGCTACATGCACGAAGCGGAGCGGGTGGACCGTTATGTCGGAGGGCTGAAGCCGGACATCTCGCACGAAATCATGCTACGCGGGCTCTCGAATTTCAACAAGATCCTCGCGCTCGCCGAGAAATTTGACATTTTGCGCCGTCCGAGAGCGGGGTCCTACTACGGACGTCGCCCTCGGGGACCGACCGAGCACGCCACCGTACACGCCGTTGCGGCGAATGCAGCTGCTGCGCCATTTAAGGGGCGCTGCTTTGCTTGCAATAGGCCGGGCCATTGAAAGAGCGAATGCCCAGAGGAGCCGAGACGCCGCGGAGCAGAGCAGGGAAGGGAGAAACGCCAGCAGTCAGTAGAAAACGGGCCGACTCCTGACGAGACAACCTGCTCGCACAACCTCACCGACCCTCACCGAGTCACAGTACCGATTCACGCAATCGATCGGGCTCGGATGAATAAGGGGGGTACAGCGACGGATCGCCCAGTACTGATACACGGGTAAATACAGGGAGCAGCAGTGAAGATTTTTATAGACGGAGGAGCAAGTCACAGCTTAGTTAATACCGCAACCGCACGGAAGCTGCAACTGACACTTAGTCGGTGTTTACCGGAGATAGATGCACGCTTAGTCGACGGCACGCCGCTGGCCATACGGGAGAAGGTGGAGAGAGAAAATTCTGCTGCGGGGGGAACTTTGGGTTTACACAGGAAATGCTCGCGATGACACTGGATGGGCACGACATTTTACTGGGACGTGACTGGTTGCGACGGTATAACCCGCGAATCGTCTGGACGACGGGTAGCTGCACTGTGCGAAGTAGCGGTAACTGGGTCGTGCTACCTCGCTGGCAGTCGCCCGAGTCTTCAACGGTCCACGTCAACGCCATCACGATGAAACGGGCTGTCGCCGCTGGAGCTGACGTGTACGCAGTGGATATAGCATTGGTAGGAGAAGCAGAGCAGCCGAGTGATTTTCAGAAACTGCTGGCAGCGGTACCGTCCGAACTACAGGAACTGTTGAAACGGTACCCGGGGATTTTTCCGGACGATTTACCAGAGGGACTGCCACCTCAGCGGGCACATGACCACCGAATAGAATTAGAACCGGGGGCACAACCAACTGTACAGCGACAATTCCGACTGACACAGCCAGAGCTCGACGAACTGAGGAAGCAATTAGATTACCTGTTAGAGAAAAAAAATCATCCGACCGAGCTCGTCACCGTTCGCCGCACCGATACTGTTCACACCGAAGAAAGATGGAGGGTTTCGCATGTGTATCGACTACAGAGCACTGAACAGGGTAACATTCAAGTCGCGATACCCCATTCCCCGTGCCGACGAACTGATAGATCAACTGCTAACAGCACGGGTCTTTTCGAAAATTGACTTACGCGGAGGTTACCACCACATTCGGGTCGAACCATTGGACTGCGTAAAAACGGCCTTAGAACTAGGTACGGGTCATTCGAGTACACCGTAATGCCATTCGGGCTGACCAACGCACCGGCGACATTTCAGATGACCATGAACGAGGCGTTTAGGCCGCTCTTAGATAAATGCATGATAGTATACCTCGACGACATCCTAGTCTACAGCCGTGATAAGCAGCAGCAGTTAGCAGATCTGGAAGCAGTGTTTAAAGTTTTAGACGAGCACAGACTACTGACCAAGGGTTCCAAGTGCGAGTTCTTTCAGGATAGGTTAGAATTTTTTGGCACGCCATTTCGGAGGCTGGAGTAGAGATCGACCCAAAGAAGCTGGATACCGTAAAAGCGTGGCACCCCCCGACAAACATCACGGAGCTGCAGAGTTTTTTAGGGTTCGTTAGTTATGTGCGTCGGTTCGTCCCCGACATGGCACGGTTAACTGCCCCACTGACAGATTTACTGCGGAAGGGGGTCGTTTTTACGTGGGGGGAGAAAGAGCATGCTGCCTTCTCCGCCCTGAAAAATGTTATGTGTTCACCGCCCGTCCTGCGCATCGCCGACCCACACCGCCCATTCGAAGTGGTTACAGACGCAAGTGACATCGCCATTGGAGCCGTACTACTACAGGATTTCGGCAACGGTTTACAGCCCATCGCATACGAGTCACGAAAACTGCATCCGCCCGAGAAGAATTACCCGATACACGACCGCGAAATGCTCGCGATCATGCATGCGTTCAAAGTATGGCGCTGTTACTTGACCGGCGCAGACGTGACAGTACGGACAGATCACAAATCACTACAGTATCTACGTGCACAGCCCCACTTCAACCCACGACAGATCCGCTGGCTCGATTTCCTCGAGTCAAACTTCCACTACACGGTCACCTACAAAAAAGGGGCATCAAACATTGCCGACGCACTGACCCGCCCCAGTGCCCAAATCCACGCCATACTACTCACCCAGACCAGCCCGCTACTAACAGGACTATTTACCCACGGCTATCAAACTGACCCGTTCTTCACAGGAGGAAATTCGCAGTAGTTCGCAGCAGCGAAGGGGGTTTATTACGTAAAAGCCGGCACCGACCGCATCTGGGTACCGGGCTACACTTTACTAAGGGAGCTGTTACTACAGGAGGCACACATCGGGGTTACCTCAGGACATTTCGGAGTAGAGAAAACACGGCAGCAGCTGCAGCGGTATTACTACTGGCCCGAAATGCTGACCGACGTGCAACGACACGTGTCATCGTGTCCCACCTGCCAAATCATGAAGTTATCACGGCAACGGTCGGCAGGGCAGTTGCAGCCGATACCACCCCCAGAGCGTGATGGGCAGCAGGTGACGATGGACTTCGTCACGGGGTTACTGGCTAAAGCAAGTGGGAACGACGCGATCCTGGTCGTCGTCGATCGGCTGACGAAAATGGCACATTTCGCAGCCTGCAAAAAACCAATCACAGCCGAAGAAACAGCCTGCCTCTTCATCTCCACCCTCGTTCGACTGCACGGGAGACCAGCATCAATTATCAGCGACCGCGACACGAAGTTCACCAGCAACTTCTGGCGGA